GATTTTCTTACTAGAGCACATGAGCAGCCAACTCTTGAACCAGCTTCAAAATCTTATATACACACAGGTGCCATTGAACTGTTTCATAATTCATTATGACATACTCATTAATTAAAAAACAAGAAGTGTTCAGGGCTTATCAACTTCAAATAGTGGCACAAAGATTAGGAACAATAGAGAAACTGATCAAGGAGGGACTTGTCTTTTCCTTGATTGCCCAAATCTTGGTATATTGTCTGGAACGCCAGATAAGATTTAAAGTAACTTTATACCAAACCTGGCCCCAGTGCCCACTAGAATCTAAAGATAAAATGATGATTAATGGCACTTTATCAGAATAATTTCTGCCAGTTCAATTTTAAATAACTAAAAGTATCATGAGTTAAACCCTCACTTCTCTATAGATTTAATTTCCTTTTAAAAATGAAAAATTAGTAGCCTGAAGATAGACAGTGATTGATGGACATAAACCAGACGTTAATTATGTTCCAGAAATAATCTTACTACAATTTAAAAAACTCCAGAAAAGAGCGAGGATTGAAGATGCATGAAAGTTAAGGATTGACATATCAACATAAATTAGGATGAAAACGCTGGAGAAATTGAATGAAATGGTTAGGACAGAAGCAGTGAAACTGTGTAGCTAGCTTGGAAAGGCAAAGTCATGTCACTAAAATACTTGCTAATGCAAAGGTAGAGCTCAGTTTTCACTTGTGCAATATGAAATTGCATTTCTGTATTGTAATATTGATATTATGGTGATTAGTGTCCAAGAAATTTGTATCAATAAAAAAAGGAATGTTTTCCTTTCCAGAGGGCCACACAAGCAGTAGTGTGACAGTAGGAACTACAGGCCACAAATGAGATTAAAGATTTATTATGCTAAATGCTGTATATACACTTAGTAAGAGACCCTGCTTCGGAGAGTTTGCAATCTCCATAGATTACAGAGAGAAGGTGGGAGAGTGTTTCATCCTGATTTTACACATGGGGAGCTGAGAATTTGCGTAAGACTACACAGGAAACCCATGGCAGAGCCAGGAATTGAACCTAAATAGCCCGAGCACCTGTCTCCCCTCCCCCCCCCTCCTCCTCTCCCTACCCCCCTGACAGAAGATGGTGAAATACACCCTGCTAGTGTGGAGGCACAAGGGGAACAGGAGTCTATGGCAGACAGGGAAGCTGGGTTTCTCTCTTCTTTGGAGATTGGGGTTCTTCTGAATCATTAAATACTGTTGCTAAGTATTCCTCTTTTTGGCAGGCTTATTAGACAGGTTGAATTGGCATGGAGCATGTGTTATCCCCGTAGCTCTAGAAATAATTCCCCCAGCAGGTCAAAGATGAAATATTTGATGGGACAGGATGGAAAACTCAGCTCTGCATTGCTCATCCTGTATTTGAACTCTCCTGGGCTGTCCATCTTATATCTTTCCCTAGCTCTGAAAGCACCTATAAGAAAACAAGTTATGAATGCATACATGGGGAATACTGCAAAGGCATCCATTGTGTTTTATCTCCTTCACCTCCCATATCATCATGGGAGCTCTTTTATGGGCACCAATCCGGAGTGCTATCACACCCCCTCCCAAACACTGAGCACCATGTGGGCCCGATCAACCCAGGTACAGTAGTTTGAATGTTCCTTCCTCACGTATTCACCTGATTCTTGCAGCCTGTCACTGGGTAATTCGCACACTACATGATTTCAAATCCCTCATAACTGAAAGGGCTGGAAACTACTGTTTCCTGCAGTGCTTGTGGAAGCATGAAGCGTTGTTAAGGCTGAATGCACCTTGGGTTTTCTTGCTAACCTTTTCAGATGTCAGCTGGAAGCTGGCTGAGAAGTAATCAGTTCTCTTCCCCTTCCATTTCTGCAGAGCCGTGGTGCTGCATAGTTGACGGGCATAGAGCAAACCAGCATTTGACAACATGAAGCACTTCAGAACTAATTGCCAGTTTCGATCTGAAGCATGCAAGTAGCTAAGATAAATTGTCACCCATCAACTTAATCTGTATCAGTATGTGTGCAAGAACCTATTCTTAGATGTAGAGCTTTAAGCCTTCCCTTGTTTTGTAGAAATGTTGTGTTCTCTTTTTAAATTAGCGCCATCTCAAAGAAGTCGAGGAGGGAAGACTGTCTTAATAGGAAGATTTTGCATAGGGCTTTACAACAATAGGTCTCAAAGAACTTTTGAGTAGTGACTAAGTATCGTTAGTTTAATTTATAAATAGTGAAACTGAGGCACATGGAGACATGACTTCCTCAAGGTCATGCAGCACATGACAGGAACAGAATCCAGCTCATTTGACACTCTGTTCAGTATCTGATCCACTGGATCATGCTGCCTCTTGTTTGTATTATTTCCTGTTCTCTAGTGGATAGACTAAGAGACTGCCCGTTTGGAGCAGGTTAAGAAAAAGAGACATGAGGTCTGATTCAGATCTCATTTAACTAGCTTTACACTGGTGTAATTTCACTGTCTTAAGTGGAATTGCTGCTGATTGGCACTAGTATATAAGGGATATTCGACACTAAGCATCTTTGACTGATAGGAAACCAAAGCAAGTCAAGTTTAGTAGGCAAATTTAAGTGTCCCTTATGAGAATCATGCAAGATCCTTTTAATAAACTGTGTATATTGTAGAATGATTCCTAAGAATTACAGACAACCCCCTGAGAAACAGAAGCTAGACTTGAGAACACACATAATGTTTGACTCTTAATCATTCTTTGCTATATTCTGAGAATATTCAGATTCTGCATCTTTAGTAATGAGCACATTCATATCATGTCTTCATCTGAAGATCTCAGTGCTCTTTATGGACACGAAACATTTAATTAAGCATCACAACAGCCCTTTGGGATATGCAAGTGCTACCCCCTTGTATAGCCAGTGGAACAAGTTTGGAGAGGTTAAGGTTAAAAAAAAAATAGTTTCAGAAGTGGACACTGGCTTTGGCAGCCTTAATGTGTGAATGCCTGGGCTGGCCAGGGCCTCTTTTTTTAGAAATGCTGAGCAGCCAGAGCTCCCTGTAATGATCTAGTGGGCAGGACCTTGATTTTTAAGGCTATCTGAAAGATGATAGCACAGTGTGGGTGACGGTTGTGGTTATTGCTTGCTTGTATTATAGCAGTGCCTAGAGGTCCCAACCAAGTTTAGGGCCCCTTTTCTGACAGTCGCTATACCAACACTCCAGGAGACAATCCATGCTCCAGAAACCTTAGAATTTAAGCAGGTAAGACAGACAAAGGGATTAGAAGAGGAAATGGAAGCACAGAGAAGCAAAGTTGTAGGATACTCAAAAATGTCTTAAAATTACTTATGACTTTAAGTGTAAGTGGTTTCCTGGTCCTGCTTGCAAGCTAGGAGGGTCTGTAGGGAAGCATGCGATCTGGGACTGGGTCTTGTGCAGTCAGTCTGCAGAGAGCCAGGCTAGAGCAAATTGCGGTGAGTTGTGTCTCTTGGTCTTATGGAGCAGCCTGCTTTCAGTTTCTCTCTGGTTTTGGTTCTTGTGTGTTAGGATTTTGGATTCTAAGGAATAAAATGGTGTTATATGGCACCTGCTCGAAAGAGTATTTTATGTTTTTATCTAACTCCTCTTTATGTATGCTGGTAACATAAGAGAAGCAACTTGCTCCAAGACACGTTGGTCAGTGTCAGGTCTGGGAATAGAATCCATGTCTCTTGACTCCCAGTCCATTATCCTGTCCATGCTGTATACATGCTGTGGTGTTGTGTCACTACTGACTAGAAAGGAGAGCACAACCTCTAGAACTGCTGTTTCCAGCAGCAGTTGTGCTTATTAGGGTAAGACAGTGAAATGCTGAACAGTAAAGTAATTTATCACATCCAAACGGAGTAAAATGGCAAGTGAACATGTTGAGCACTAATGGCATAATTTTCAAAGGTCCTGAGCACCTGCTGCTCCTGTTGAAGTCAGAGGCATTAGGGGGTGCTCAGCAAGTATTTGCTCTTGAGTCCAGAGAGTTACAGCAGATATTAAAATGTCACTGCTGCAGACCAAGCTGCTACAGCCTTCAGATAGCTAACTGCTCTTTGCTGTCTAATTTGTAAATTTCATTTCCATTCACCTTCTGTTCCATCCTTTACATAATACCTTGTCACTTCAGTAGAAACAATAAGGAACCTTTTCACTCAGAAGTGCTGCTCCAATATCTGACTTAAGCTGGAGAACAAAAAGCTAGCATGGAGCATCAGCTCCCAATGAGCAATTGAGAACAAAACACGGGCTCCTCTGCTGGTTTTCCATACCTTGTCACCCCTCTCTAATTCAGGCTGTCACAGGATGTTTCACTTTCCACGGGTATTGAGGGGCGGAAGCTGCAATCTTTGGGTTCACATTTCAAAGCACCTAATGTTTGGGATGCATTTACATCTAGAGTATTTTTGTTTGTTTGGCCCACTAGAAAGCTAGCGGCTATTTGCAAAAGCCAGATCAGAGTTTGTATTTCAGACATGCAGAGTTTGCGGGTTGGGTTATGAGGGTCCAAGCTGAGACGGATCTTTTTAATAGAAGTTTATAGGCCTGATCATTCTGATCTTGCTGCTTTCCACCCAGATAGAACTCCATTTACTTCAATGGCGTTAGCCTTGATATATCACTAATGCTGAATTCACTTTGCTATGGTACCCACAGCAGAGCCAAAGCATTTCAATGGATGATTTAGTTGGGGATTGGTCCTGCTTTGAGCAGGGGGTGGGACTAGATGCCTCCTGAGGTCCCTTCCAACCCTGATATTCTATGGAGATTGCAATCCCCAGTGTTGGGTGGCTACCATGGAAAATCAAGTTTTTCTACTCCCTCCCCCCCCCCTTCATGGTACGCTGGTGAAAGTGAGCTCAGACCTGGCCCCTGGTGAGTTTAGCTCCAAATCATCTCACCCTTCTGTCTCTCCATGTAAGAACTGGTTTTGTTTTATTGCAACCCTGTTTTATTGCAGCCCTTGAGTCTGATGTAATGTATGTATTTCTATTGCAGATAATCGGCTTGGTGATCCTGTGCATTGGCATCTATGCAGAAGTGGAAAGACAGAAACACAGAACCTTGGAAGGGATCTTCCTAGCTCCAGCTGTGGTTCTCCTTCTGCTGGGCATCACAATGTTTGCTGTTTCCTTTATTGGAATGGTTGGGTCCCTCAGAGACAACAGGACACTGCTGAAGACGGTAAGAGCTTTATACCCTTCTTGTTCTACACTGTGGAGTCGTCGTCCCATGTTTTACAACCTGAAGGGTATGAAACACTTAACGTTCCAGGATCTCCCTGAACCTATACTGGAGAAGGCTTTTTAAAAAAAAAACCTTGAATGGGTTTTCCCTCTTCTACTTGTGGCATGGATTCTTCTTTATTGGAGAAGGTGGACTAGAGAAAGGCTGACCTAGTGTATAGTATTTCATTCATAAAATTTCTTTCCAATGAACCTATTTAACTGAAGCTGTATGATTAACTTAGTTTTACATCATGGAGGCCTTTCAAAATACTCCTAGGAGGCAACTGATTGGTGACCATGTGTCTTTGAAAATTCATGGCCTGGCCTAATGGCTGTTGGTCTGAGCAAAGTGTGTATTTGCCCTTCAGCCACAGATTCATAGGACTCAATGTTTCTCCGTTGATTAACACAAAGAAGTAAATGGTAGCACCACTCAATAAATGCTTGATGCATGGCACATAGTGTTTTGACTTGAAGCTGGGTAAGCTTGAAGGGCTGGAGTAGGAAACTGAGCCCATATGTTGTGGCAGTTATTTATATACTATTGCATCAACAGTTCATAGTGCATCCAGGTAGAAATGGGAGCAATGACACCTGAATGATGTGTGACTCTTGATTGTGGAGATTCATCGTGCTGGAGAACAACCTTTCAAGTCAAAATCTTTCCCGTAGGGCAGTGGCAGCTATTCATTTAATGAAAAGTTTATTAGAAACAGGTGGGGAGGAGAGGGGGAATCCCACACATGTTCTTTCCAAACTACCTTTTCCTTTCCTACAAATGCTTTTATCTAGTCTTGGAATTCTTTTTTCCCCACCCTTAACAGAGTTTTACTTTTTCATTTCCTAAACGCGTTGCAGTGAACTGACACACAAGTGTGTGTGCAAATGCGTGTACCACTCTCATTTGCTGGATAGAACCAGAACTTCTCAGATGCGTCATAGCAGAAAAGCCCTAACTGGCACTGGAGATTCGCCATCAGCTTATGCAGTAGGAGCCTGTGCTTCTGGAACTGGAAAATTGTTCTCTCCCTGCTGCTGCTATAAATTCCAAGTGGCCGTGGTGTGTTGCATAGCAACAACCATGAAGTCCTAGCTAGCGATGAATTTGCTACAATTTAATGTGCAAGCTTCAGTCCTCAGCTCCATCCACAGCTTCAGCCCCTTCCTATGGCATTCTCCCACCTATGCCCTATAAATTTCACATATATCATCTGCCACCTAGCTAATATTTGTACCTGATCTTGTGGTATTGAGATGGTATATTTGTATGGAAATACTATTTGATATTTTAACTTCTGCGGAGAAGGCAGCACTGTAGCAACGGCCTGGTATAATTTAATTGCAAAGCTGATACCTAAGCATTCTCTTATTATCTACGGTTGAATGCCTAGTAGCATCTGCGGAAAGTGTTGCTAGGTTTCTCCTGGGTTAAAATATAAAGTTATTTTTAAGCTGCAATTCCATCTCTGGTTTAGCACACTCCCCATTGTTAGGTTTATTGTAGTTCAAACAGTTCCAAGAACAAACAGTTTTGGTTCCTTTTGTGAGGCAATTTTTATGGGGGAGGGGGAGAGGAGAATTCCCTTTTCTGTAACAACTCAGAGCTGTAGGATATGAGGAGCCGAGCCCTCCCCTTTGATTCTTAACCTTTTTCTGAAGGTTTTGTTGGAGCCTTGACTTACTGCATTCAACTGACATTTTTGGCTTGCTACATTTTCATTGTCTATCTTTGCTCTGGAAGGCTGGAGTGAAACATGGGCAAGACCCTTGCTGTGCAACTCTGCTCATGTTGACAGGGGATCGAATAGATACCTGGGGTTCTGGGGAGTTGTATCTCCCAGATCCGAGTTTATCGGATAACTCTGACATTGAAGCAGCTAGCCAGGTGAGTCACCTAGGTCTTCGGAGGTTTGAAGGCCACTTTCCCACAGCTGGGTCTTTGCTGCTGCAGTACTTCAATCATGAGGAAGGGCCCTGATTTCAAAAGATGTAATTCATCCCATCTCTAGGAAGTGAAGCTGCTGTTTCCAAAGTGAATAACGGGCAGCCAGTTCCCTCCACTCCAGCTGGCATCCCACCGACACTGGGTTCATTCTACCGTCAGCCAACCATCATCTACCCAGTGGCCATCACACGTTTCCCACTCTCTAAAATAATACATTATCTTTGTGTGTCTTCCCTCCTGCCAGGTGCATGTGTAATGATGTCCTTTGTCAGGTTGTTTGTGGGGCTTGAATCTGGGACCTCTGGCTCTAACTCAGGCAGTAGAGGCTCATGGTTTTAAAGAACTAACTCCATTCATTTGGAGGCAGTAGTTTAGAATCATAAACTCAGAAGCACACAGATTCAGAATGGGTGTCACTCCCCATGGCCGGGGAAGCTGGATCTGATTTTCTCAGAAGTCCATAGCAATTCAGATCCCCATACAGGCCACCATTTGTAACGATGCCCCAGTGGTCATTATCCTGGCATCTCCCAAGGCACACTGGCCAGGATACAACTTTTATAATGTGTTACAATGACGCCACTATGCCTAATGCATATTCAGTAAGGGGTTTCTCCCCTTTTCCTTATTTGCATATCCTCACCCTACTAACGTGGAGGTGCCCTTCTCCCATAGGTTACTAGGCCTGGTACCTCAAGCTCATTAGTATATACGTCAGTCAGTTACCAATGGCACTTTGTGGTCAGACATCTGCTGAAGTTCCCAACATAAAATATCCCAAGCTGGAATAACTAGCACCTGTCCACAGTGTTCGTTGCACCTTGTGATAGCTTATGATTTAGGGCAGTGGTCCCCAACCTCTTCCGGGTGGCGGGTGCCGGACGACGAGCCACTGAGGACCATGGCTGGCGGACAAGCATCCGCCGAAATGCCGCCAAGAAGCGGCAACGTCAAGAGGCATCGCCACTGAAATGCCGCCGAAAATCAGCGGCATTTCAGCGGCGACGCCTCTTGGTGAAGCCGCTTTTCAGCGTCATTTCGGCGGTGATGCCTCTTGATGACGCCGCTTTTCGGCAGCATTTCAGCAGATGCTTGTCCGCCGGCCAGTACGTGGGCACACATAGATGCCCCGGCGGGTGCCATGTTGCCTGCAGGCACCGCGTTGGGGACCACTGATCTAGGGTTACTCCTGGCTAGCTGCTTATGCTAAGGCTTTGGGGTCTTCTGCCTTGTTTAGTTAAGCTATTATTTTACAGGCCTTGAGGCACGTAGGCTCATGGCATTACTGCCTCACCTGTAGGCTACAATACATCTTGCCACTGCCCTCTGCTGAAGGATATGTCAGACCTGCTCAAGTGTATAATCACCCGTCACCCTCCCATGGCTGCAGACTACAGAGGAAATGGAACCCAATACTTTTCTCTGCCTGCAAGCCGCCTCGCACCTCCTGGGGGGTTTACTCTGAACAAGGGCAGGTAGTTGTTGCTGCTGCCTACCTTCCCTTAGGTAGGGTTCTGCTGGAAAGGGTAGATTTTAGGGTCTTGTAGGCTGCTATGAGATATGGATTCATCCCCAGCTGCCTAAGTTATGCCCCCTCCCTAGCTGCCTCTCCTGGGACCAGTCCCCCCCAGCAGGGGTGAGGTCAGCAGCTTCTTCGTACTTGCTCAGCCTCATACCCCTGGACTCTGTGCTCCTTGGGGTCTCCATCAGTGTCTGCACAAATGGAAGCTGCTCAGATATTCTGGAAATGGGAGCTCCATAAGTACCTATGTAGGTAGATAGCCCTTGGCCCAACTCAGCGATGCTGCAGAAAAACTGAGCCAATATTTCAAGTCAATCCATGCCAGCTAGTTTCTGCTCCTTAGGATTTGGATTCTACACAGACAAAGCTTCCTGTTACTGAGGTCATACCTAGCAAAGTGTATGTGGCTTCATGACAGCTCTGTTTACACATCAGCAGTTGTTCAGCCACCGTCAATTCCTTCTCAGTAAGTATCTCTTCAGTTCAATGACCTGGGATGCTCCATCGAGGATTTTTGCTAGTGTGTATGTGTCTGTGGGTGCAGAGAGTATTAATTGTTTGGATAGTGAAATTAACAACATTCAAGTCTATGTCTGCTGCCAGTCCTGTTTGTTTTTTATTATTATTTTAATTAAACACCAATATGAGCATATGGTCACTTGCATTTAAGTGTAGCATTGCTTTTGATTGCTGTGCACTTGCATCTTGAATTGATATCGATGTTCCCTTAACTAGGGAAACAAATCACCATTGTCTTTGCTGCTCTGGCAATAACTGCCTCTGATGTTATAAGATTATCATAGTTTTTCAGTAGCTTCTGTATTCCCAGCTTGCTTTGCAGCTACTATGCAAGTGAATATGTATGTATGTAAGACATGTTGCATGGAACATGTGATTATTCACATTATACTGATAAGTATTCAGCTAATACCAAGAAATCATAATGAATGCGCAAGCAGGAAGAGCAGTTATTTCAAGTACTAACAAATATGTATGTATTATTCATAGACTACATTCACTGATATGAATTGCCAATTTCAGTTAATGCTGCCTAGTTATTTGTGACATCAAAATATCCTGCTGAAATGTCTTGCAAAAGGAGGCAACTCTCAAATTTTTGACAAATCTTTAAAATTATTGCGCACACAAGCGTATTTAAGGCAAAATTGGAGAATCCTTTTAGGCATCTTTTTATCTGCTCTGTGTTACTTTTGCTAAAATATTTAGCTAAACTTCTTTATCAATTTTTGATTATATTGCTTTTCTGCTTGTGTCATAACTATAAAGGGAAGGGTAACAGCTCTCTGTGTACAGAGA